AAAATTGTTTAATAATAAACAAAACGAGAATATATTTTAAAACGTCTACAAATTATTTGAAAAATTATTACCTGCATAGTTAGGTTTGATCTGCATTCTTGACAAATATAACTACAAGAGCACGTATGGCAAGACGTATCTTCTAAAAAAACTGTTATGTGACTGTGGATAAATAATTAAATTACTAAGATTAATAATGTCGAAATATAATATTTCAGAAAATCTCGGATCCGAGAGCAGCTGTGATAAACTGCAAAGGCTCAAGCGATTAATTAAAAATTTATTTTGTAAACTTTCCAATAAAACTTAAATATATGAGACGACATATTAGTAAAAAGTACTACAAATAATAATTTGAAGCCTTATCAGCGGCCGAGAGGATAAATCCCGACGACAACAATTGGTCCCGACACGTTTTATACTTGGCATGTCTTGGCATTAAACAGGGGTCGGTTTCCCATAAATCGTCATTACCACATGCCGGATTTGACATTTGAGAAATTTTTAAACAAACAGTTTTTACAAGACCTAATCAATTTGTATTTGTAGCGGTGGAGAAGAGTACTAAGAACCTAGATTTTTTAGTGCTCTCTGAGTAAAATAAGCCTATGACCCACATTTACAAGCTCCCTTCTAACTAATTAACTATAATCTATTTCACAAATTTATCAGTGAAGCAACTGAAAGTATTAATTCATCGATCACCATAAATCATATACGGCACGCACCGGAAATTGTTTTCCATTGTCAGAAACCACTGACACGAAATGAGATTGTTTGTTTAAACGATTTACAGTCGACCCCCTTATAACACTGTTGATTTTTCCGTTTTATATGAATTCCATGTTGTACGAGTCACTTAGATTTTCCAAATACATGTGCCGGGCTGTGAACGGCTTACGTATTTGGAAAATCTAAGTGACTCGTACAACATGGAATTCATATAAAACGGAATAATCAACAGTGTTATAGGGGGTCGACTGTAATTTTAAGTTAGAATAGGTCATAATATCGTAGCATTTAACTTACTTTGTTTTCTTCTAATAGCTTCATTAGGGCTATCTTAAATTCAATATTGTTTTCTTTTATTTCCTGTAAATAAAATTATTTCAGAAAAATTGTATAAAACACTAATAGATAGACCATATTAATCAGCATTCTTCGTAACAATATTGATTGTAATCTAAAACAATATTTGCAATGACATTATGTCATTATGCTTTATTAACATAGATTATGCAATTCTAAAAACAGGTAAATTCATTTTTCTCATATTCTTTCTAAAATTTATCATCACATGGTAATCCGTTAAAGGATATATTGCTAAACAAATTCTAATAATATATATATAAACTAATATTATAATACATAATATTAACATTTAAGAAATAATATATATACAAATCCGGCTAAAAAGACCAAACTCGAAATAAACAATACTTTTTCCTCTCACTTCCTATTTAACTATTTTTTCTTCAATCGACCTATAATAATCACAGTTAAGTATTTGAACAATGCAATGAATGTTTTTTCTATTAATAAACGAATATTGGGAATTTACTCCAAAATTATTAGAAATATTTAATACGATTTATTGAATCATTTCTCGAGTCTAATTAAATAGAAATATCAATTGAGAACTACACACTAGTGACTATTACTTAAATAACGTATTTTAATGCGATGTTTAATGAATAAATACATGTAAATAATTTTTATGCTTTTGAAAACTCTTATAAAAGTACTTATAAATACTTAGAAAACATTCCCTAAATACAGACCTGGTACGATTCTTCAATTTCCAATAAATTGTCGCTCAATTTCATTTCCTGTTTGATCAAACGCTTTGAAAATAATTAAGAATTTAGAAACGAGATGTTATTGAAATTTTCTCTTATATAATTCGATATCGACTGTACCATAAATCGCTTCATATTTCCTCTAAATAATTTTTGAAATCTTCTTTCTTTTACTACAGTTGCGGTCACCGTC